ACCACTCCTAACGGCACCAGGCAACCGGAAGTTCTTCATCGCGGCTACGGACTACTTCACCAAATGGGTTGAAGCTGAGCCCTCAGCAACTATCAAGGAGAAAGACGTCAAACGGTTTGTCTAGCAGAATGTGGTAACGCAGTTTGGCGTCCCTAAAATTCTGATCTCTGACAATGGCACCCAATTTGACGGGCGCCTATTCAGAGGATTTTGTGAAGAATTGAAGATCGAATTCTACAACTCCACCCCGGCTTACCCGCAGTCCAACGGCCAAGCCGAAGCATCAAGTAAGACCATTCCTGATAGGTTAAAGAAAAGACTTGAGAAAGCCAAAGGAAAATGGGCCAAGGAACTCCCAAGTGTCCTTTGGGTATACCGGACAACCCCGCGGCGATCAACCGGGGAAACTCCTTTTGCCCTGGCATACGGCATGGAGGCAGTCATCCCGTTGGAAATCGGCATACCCACCATCCGCAGTGAAAATTTTGAGCCGAAGCTGAACTCTAATGCAGTAGCCCTAGAATTGGACCTTGCTGAAGAGTGCCGAGAAAAAGCTTTGATTCACGTGGCTGCGTACCAACAAGAATTGTCCAGGAAATACAACAAAACTGTACAACCCAGACCGTTTAAAGTAGGCGACTGGGTTTTAAGGAAGGTCATGGGCAACACCCTGGTGCCAAGCGAAGGCAAGCTAGAGGCAAACTGGGAAGGACCCTACAGGATAACCGGTCTGGCGGGCAAGGGGCCATATCACTTGGAAGATTTGGACGGCAAAGGCATACTCCGGCCATGGAATGCAGCCAACCTCAAACTGTACTATTTTTAAGTTTTTCATAGTTTTTATGTTATTCTTTTGAGCAAGGACTTGTTTGCCTTACAATTCAGAATGTAATACCCTTTTTGTCAATATAATAGAAGTGATTTATTCCTGTTGAAGCATTCTGTTGTTTTCGATGCTTATTTTGTGATTTCAACCGAGATGTTTTACTCCGGTTGAACGAGTTGATGATTTCCTCAACTTTGTGATTTCAGCTGAGATGTTTTACTCCGGTTGAACAAGTTGATGATTTACTCAGCTTTGTGATTTTAACCGAGATGTTTTACTCCGGTTGAACAAGTTGAAGATTTACTCAACTTTGTGATTTCAACCAAGATATTTTCCTCCGGTTGAACAAGTTGATGATTTACTCAACCTTGTGATTTCAACAGAGATGTTTTACTCTGGTTGAGCAAGTTGATGATTTACTCAACTTTGTGATTTCAACTGAGATGTTTTACTCCGGTTGAGCAAGTTGATGATTTACTCGACTAAAAAAGTTGATGACTTACTCGACTTCGTGATTTCAATCGAGATGTTTTACTCCGGTTGAGCAAGTTGATGATTTACTCGACTTTGTGATTTCAACCGAGATGTTTTACTCCGGTTGAGCAAGTTGATGATTTACTCAACTTTGTGATTTTAACCGAGATGTTTTACTCTAGTTGAACAAGTTGATGATTTACTCAACTTTGTGATTTCAACCGAGATGTTTTACTCCGGTTAAGCAAGTTGATGATTTACTCAACTTTGTGATTTCAACCGAGATGTTTTACTCCGGTTGAACATGTTGATGTTTTACTCCGGTTGAGCAAGTTGATGATTTACTCAACTTTGTGATTTCAACCGAGATGTTTTACTCTGGTTGAGCAAGTTGATGATTTACTCAGCTTAAACTGAGATGTTTTACTCCGGTTAAGCGAGTTGATGATTTGCTCAACTCTGTGATTTAGACCGAGATGATTTTGCTCTGGTTGAATGAGTTAATGTTTTATCAACCGAGATAGTTTATCTCGGCTATATGAGTTGATAATTCACTCAAGGACGAGTTGATGATTTGCTAAGCCAAGGTATTTTACCCCGGCTAAAGTTGTTTAGTTTAAACACAGTGCAAACACTTAACGAAATCAGAACTTTTCATTGATGAGGAACAGAATTACATACGGTGGGGCTGGCAGTCGGGTTACATTCCTAAAAACGAAGAAGAAAGAGATAGAAAACTAAACTAAGGGGGACAGGTCAGCAAATTCATCCCCGGTAGCAGTAGCCTCCAGGTCGACCGTGGTTGTTTTTTCCTGGACTCCGGTCTCTACCTGGCTGGTCTACTTTGGGCGGTTATCTCCCTCGGCATTTTCCTCGGCTTCGTCCCCGTCGTCTTCCTCGGTCTCAGCCTACAATGTGTTGAAGACGTCATTGGCGTATGGCACCATGTATGTCGGCAGGAAGACAGCTGGGGGAGAGACAAACACGTCGGTTCCAGATCCTTAGCCGAGTTGTTCGCAAGCAGCCTTCCAGCCAGCCTTGAAGAAAATATCTTGGGTGGCATGGACTTGCTTCGTGTAGTTCTCCTTGCCCTCCTTGAAACCTGTGTTATTCGCCTCATCTAGTTCATCCTTATTTGACTGTTTCAACGCCTTTAGCTCGGCCCGGAGAGCGTCCCTCTCTTGCTCAGCGACTCCAAGCTGGCTGAGCAATCTGGAGTTGTCGGAGTTTGCGATCTCCAAAGAAGCTTTTAATCGCCCCAGCTCGGTTTGAAGGTGCTCAACCTGGCTGGCGGCATCGGTTGCCTTCTACCGGAGTCTATGAATTCGCTCCATGACCAGATGTTGTTTCTGGATAGCCTACGAAGAAAAGTTTTGATTGAAGAAAGGAAACTGAGCAAACACTTTGAAAAATTTGAATAAAAAGCTCGAGATTCTTACCCGGGTCAAAGACTTGACTGAGGACTTCACCAGTCGAGTGTCAAGCACATGGTCGCTGCCGACCACGTCGCTCAGCAGTAGGAGGGCTTTTGTCAGATCGAAGGCTAGGAGATGCTCCTTGTCACCTTTGACCGAAGCGGTTGCCGGGATCTCTTTTCCCTGGTGCTTCAGTTGGGGCTTCCATGGTGGTGTTGGGTCAACTGTGACCGCCGGTTGCTCGGTGTTCAACTCCGCAACTAGCTTGGCTGAAGGATCGGTGGTGCGAGGCCTTTTTCTAACCCGGTGGCTTTCTCTGCTTGCCTGCCCGGCAGCGGGTGACGCCAATGCAACCACGGTCTCACTCGATCAACCAGCAGCGACTATGCGGGAGGGGATGCTCGGTAGCTCGGTAGATGTGGCAGTGATGAGATTTTTGATGCGGCTTCATTTGGCCATCTCTTCTGCTTCAGTCAGCCAGATTAGTGGTACGTTCGGTAATGTGGGGTCAGGAGGTGGCGACGGCGCTCTAAGGAAGTCTGTCACTCTACTCCGGCGTGGGGCGGAATATCTATAGGTCGGTACATAACCGAGGAGTTCGTGGCAATCCCGGTTATGGTAGCGAAGCACGGTTCTGATGGTTGCTTCGTTGGGATAATGGTAGTTGGCTTGCAAAGCTTCGATTGCTATAAAGAGAAAACGAACAAAGTGCATTAGTACAAAATGATGAAGGAAAGAAATTTGATCGAGCAGTTAGCACGGCTTACATGTTTCGTCGAAATATTTGCTGATATACCAGCCTGGCACGTCGACTGTTTAATAATTACCGGACACCCAGAAAAAGTCGTCGTCATGCAAGTCTTTGTCTGGGGTACCGGTCACTATCTTCTCCTTGCCCGATCTAATCTTTAAATAATAGGCAAGGCCATCGCCTGTATGCCCGAGGTTATACTAGCAAATTATATCGGCTAGACCTAAGTTGGTTCCTAGCCGATTGTTCAGCTCGGCGATTCCATTTATTATGCGGTAAGTGTTGGTTGAGACTTGGGTTGGTGCTAGCCCGGTGCGCCGCAAAAACTCGCACATTAGGGGGTTAACCGGGAAGTGGAGCCCACCTTCTATAATAGAAAGCACGGTGAAGGGGCACTGGTCTAATCTACCACAAGGGGTTGTCTCAATCTCGCTGAGCTCTAGGTGGACGTCGGTCGGGATACCATACTCTTCCCGGAATACGGCCAGGGAAGCCGGAGTATCAACAAGGAAGCGGAAGCGCCCCAAGTGTAACCGGTTGATTTAGTTCGGCTGAGGTGGTTTGGCACAGACTGGTGTTTAATGGCTGCTCGGTCTTTGAGAGGCTCGATAATTGTGCGTGGTCCATTGATGTGAAACTGAATTACATAAGGTGGGGCAGGTAGCCCGGTTACATTCTTAAAAGAAAAAGAAAGAAGACTAAACTAAGGGGGAAAGGTCAGCAAAGTCATCCCCGGTTGCAGTTGCCTCCAGGTCAACCGTAGTTGTGGTTTCTTGGATGCTAGTCTCCACCTGGCCGGCCTACTTTGGGCGGTTTTCTCCCTCGGCATTTTCCTCGGCTTCGTCCCCGCTTTCCTCCTCGGCCTCAGCCTACAATGCACTGAAGACGTCGTTGGCATATGGCACCATGTACGTCGGCAGAAAGGCAGCTGGGGAAGAGGTAAACACGTCGGTTCCAGATCCTTGGCCGAGCTATTCGCAAGCAGACTTCCAACTGGACTTGAAGAATATGTCCTTGGTGGCCTCGACTTGCTTAGTGTAGCTTTCTTCGCCCTCCTTGAAACCTGCGTTGTTGGCCTTATCCACCTCATCCTTTCTTGATTGTTTCAATGCTTCCAGCTCGGCCCGGAGAGCGCCCCTTTCTTTCTCGGCAGCTCCAAGTTGGCCGAGCAATTTGGAGTTGTCTGTGTTTGCAATCTCCAAAGAAGCCTTTGACCATCCTAGCTCAGTCTGTAGATGCTCAACCTGGCTAGCGGCGTCGGTCGCCTTTTGCTGGAGTCTGTGAATCCTCTCCATTACGAGGTGTTGTTTCTAGATGGCCTGCAAGAAGAGAGTTTGATTATTGTATTGTAACGCCAATAACTCATTGATTTATATTTTATAGTTATGATCGATATGGTTGTTATCATAATTTCAACCACAATGCAAAGATTATATCATATCATCCGTTAGTACACAAGGTTGGTCTGGTTAACATTGATGATCATCAAAGATTAGGTCAAAATGATGAACAGTTTCTGCATGGATTAGCAGAGATGATCACCGTTGGATTTGATCGTGTGGACGATGATCTCTGGTGGGAAGACTTCTTTCCTGAATGGATTGATGAAGAGGAAAAGTGGTCTTCACCAACGTGCCCAGAAATCCCAATGCCGCGGTTCGAGGAGTACGGTGAGATGGACGTGGTTGTAGCTAGGGTTCCATGTGTTAGGAATGTGTTTAGATTACAAGTTAATCTAATGGTTGCTAATTTGTTGGTGAGGAGTGGGTGGGAAAATAATCAGGATCGGACGGTGTATGCTGTGTTTATCGGTTCATGTGGGCCCATGTGGGAGATTTTTAGATGTGATGACTTGTTATGGAATGAAGGGGAGTATCGGGTGTATAAGCCTGATTTGAGAAGATTAAAACAGAAGGTGATTATGCCTATTGGTTCATGTCAGCTTGCTCCTCCTTATGCTGAGCCAGGTCAGTCATTTAAATTTTTTTTTTGTTTCTTTGTTTTTTAAGGTGAGGATTGATAGAACAAAAAATATCGATGAGATAGGATCTTTCATATATCTGAAAAATAACGGTGATACTACATGTACCAATTAGTGTACATATTAGTATACTAATTAGTGTTATGATATCATTAATTACCCTATTTATTATACAAATTATAAATATTCAAAACCCATCTATTGGTATACTAGTGTGTATACTAATTAGTGCATATAGTATTATTTGAAAAATAATTGGGCTTATAGTTATTTTTTGAATATGTCAATGTTGGAAGTTAATTCAAACTTTTTAATATTGAATTAATATATTGAAAAGTTGTGTTCATGAATGAGTCTTGAAATTTGAAGAGTCATATTGGTTAGGTAAGTGTCTTGATGTATATGTGTGAAGGTACATGTATGATTTAATGTCTGAAACTCTTCATATCCTTTTGTGGTGGTACAAGGGAGAAGAAGTTTGGCATAAAAAATTTGGTGTTTTTTTGGGGAAAATATCATTCACCGACCATAAAAAAAAAAAAAAAATATCAGTTTCCCGCCCAAAAAAAAACACACAGCTGAATGTGTTTTATAGATTTGATGCGCACTCATTCTCACACAACCTACACTCATCCCTTCTCCTTCGTTAAACCCATCCTCACTACCAACCCAATACCAGCGGTAACCCACTCTCGACGCCGTTGCAGATCCGACAATGGTGACCCACTGTCGACCCCATACAGATTCTGTTTGCTTGCCAAACCAGAGCTGTCACGTTCTTCTCCTCCACTTCACCAAAGCCGTCGCATTGGCAAACCCTGTCTACAGCGACCCACTCCTCAAACCGAACCCATTACTTTGTCCTCATTCTATCTACCCTCACTTCGCAAACCAGAGGTTAGTTTTCTTCATTGTCTATATCTCTGTAATTGATTATTTGAGTTTCATGTCAGTAGATGGAATTGCATTTTATGTGTTTGGAATTTTTTCAAACTGAAATTAGTCTATAAGTATTTCTCTGTGGAATATTTTTTTGTGTCTGGAATTATTTTTTGTGTCTGGAATTGAGAAGAAATAGAAGCAATTTATAAACTGTAATTAACAAACTGCAATTTATAAACTAAAATGGTTAGTCTTCTTCATTGTCTCTATCTCTGTAATTGATTATTTGAGCTTCATGTCAGTAAATGGAACTGCATTTTGTGTGTTTGGAATTTTTTCAAACTGAAATTAGTCTATAAGTATTCCTCTATGGAATATTTTTTTGTGTCTGGAATTATTTTTTGTGTCTGGAATTGAGAAGAAATAGAAGCAATTGGTAAACTGTAATTAACAAACTGCAATTTATAAACTAAAATGGTTAGTCTTTTTCATTGTCTCTGTCTCTGTAATTGATTATTTGAGCTTCATGTCAGTAGATGGAACTGCATTTTGTGTGTTTAGAATTTTTTCAAACTAAAATTAGTCTCAAAGTATTTCTCTGTGGAATATTTTTTTGTATCTGGAAATATTTTTTGTGTCTGGAATTGAGAAGAAAGAGAAGCAATTTTTAAACTGAAATTAGTTCCATGCATAACTAAATTTAATGATGGCTTCATGGGTTTTTAACAAACTGTAAATCAAGAAAAAGTTATTTATAAAATAAATAGAGCATCAAAGTAGAAATGAAATACTACCAGCATACTGAGGACATAATTTAATTTATGAAATAAAGATTTAATTTATGTAGCTAAGATTTTATTTATATGGGTTTTCAGTTGCATTTTGATATGAATATGGCACCCGAGAATGATTGTGTTTGGAAGCCAAAACAGGGAATGGCATTTGATTCTGAACAATGAGCGTTTGATTTTTATAATACATATGGAGGAAGAATGGGGTTTAGCATAAGAAGGGATTGTTGTAGGAAAAACAAGTTCACTAACCAACTTATTTGTAGACTTTTGGTTTGCAACAAGGAGGGATTTCGGAAGGTTGACAAGCGAGACCCATTTGCAAAAAAACCCTAGAGCTAAAACTAGGATTAGTTGTGAGGCTCGCCTTTATGTGAAATTAGATGAGGGTATTGGGAAATTTGTTGTGACTGATTTCAAAGAAAAATACAACCACAACCTTGTATCACTCGAGTGTGCCCACATGTTGCCGTCACAAAGAAAGATATCGGCTACCCAAACAATTGAGTTAGATTTGGCGTTACAATTTGGCTTTCGTTTAGGTTAATCTTTTGAACTCATAGGTAGGGAAGCTGGTGGGAGGCAATGTCTTAGGTTTATAAAATTAGATCAAAAAAATTATTTGAGAACCAAAAGACAACAAAGTTTAGCATGCGGAGAAGTAGGCAATATGCTGGAATATTTTAAAGAAAAACCTTTGCAGAATCCTTCCTTTTTTTATTCGTTTTAGTTAGATAATGAGGAGCAAATAACGAATATGTTTTGGGCCGATGCACAAATGATCATGGATTATGTCAAATTTGGTGATATTGTCACATTTGATACGATTTACAAGTTAAACAAAGAACATATACCCTTTGCATCTTTTGTGAGATTCAACCATCATAAGAAAACAGTTATATTTAGTGCAGCCTTGTTGTATGATAAGACTACCGAATCGTTTGTATGGTTGTTTCAAAATTTTCTAGAAGCTATGTCAAGAAAGGCACCAAAAACTTTGTTCACAGATCAAGATGCTGCAATGGCTAAAGCCATACCCATTGTTATGCCTGACATGAGTCATCAATTGGATACTTGGCATTTGATGCAAAATGCATTAAAGCATGTTAATTGTTTGTTCAAAGATAAGGGGGTAAAGGGTATATTAAATAAATTCTTGTTTGACATTGAATATGAAAATCAATGAAAGTTAGAGTAGGCTGAAGTGCTTGAGAAATGTGATGCGCATGATAACAATTGGTTGAAATTGACTTTTGCGGTGAAAGAAAAATGAGGTTGGCCATATGCTAGATCAACATGGGCTGCGGGAATGAGTATAACACAACTTAGTGAATTTTTTAATATTTTTTTGAAGGATTACATTCGTTCGGATTTTAATTTAAATGAATTCTTCATGCATTTCGAAAGGGTACTTTATGAGAAGCGATACAAGGAGTTAGAAGCAGGATATGCTTTGTGCTAAAGGTTGCCAAAGGTGAAAGCGACTATAAAAATGTCAATTCAAATGGGTAATGTATACACAAAAAAGATTTTTGAGGAATTCCAAAATAAGTACTTTCGATCCATTAAATAGAACATAAAAGCAATTGAATATGACGAGACTTGTACCATTTTCACAGTTGTTGATGTTGGTATGAAACATGCAAGGAAAGCGAAGATGGAGAGGGATGGCTCTTTGGGTTATAGTTGTACAAAGTATAAAAAGGAAGGAATTTTGTGTTCTCACTCTTTGAAGGTTATAAGAGACGTATTGAGGATGATAGAGATTCCTTCACAATACATTGCTAAGAGGTGGACCAAACAAGCAAGAGCTGAAACTGTGAAAGACCTTACGGGGAATGACATTCAAGTTGATGTAAAATTCTAATAAGCCTCGCGGTATAAGACATTAATGACCGCTTTTAGAGTAATAGCGTGTAGAGTTGCTAAAACTAAAGAAACCAATGATTTGGCAATTGCACAACTCACTACATTAGGTGGAAATGTTGAATGCAAGTTAAGTGCTCATTTTGCGGTTGAAAATGAAATATGTAATGAGGATGAAACCCAAAGCGTTGAAGTAGATTGCGAAGATGACAATCATGTTGTACAACCAAGTGGCTTGAAGAAAAAGGTGGCAACTACTAAGGGCAAAAGGAAAGTGAAAGGTGGATTCAAAGCGGTATTGGTAGCAAACTCCAGAAAAAAAGCCCGTGCTAATACCTTGGCTACCTCACAATCTATTGCAGGTCTAACAGTTAGACCTTCACCATTTTCTGTTGGAGGAGATATCTATAGTCATCAACATGTTCATCCTCTTCATCATCTTAATCCATCTGTTGCAATGGGTGGTAATTCAATACCTCATTCATTCATGTATCCCACATATCATGTGAGTGTTAGTTTCAGATTTTATTATTTTGTTGTCGATATAATATAACACTCTATGACTTATTGTCAACCATAATATAATGTTGTCCTTGTTGTAGGTAAACAATTTGCAAAATATGTATGTAGTGCCAAATTGTGTGCCAAATCCAATGTCTCAGCGCTATTATGGTCAACCAACATTCCAGTCAGTAGGCGAAGGTACATCTGGATATGACATTGGATTTCGATATTCTGAGCAATCAAATAATCCAATGTGTAGTTAGGTTATTTTATTAACTTTGGCAATTGATATTACATTTGTTGTACATTATGTGTCCCTTTGCTACTGTGTTTTGTTAAATTTTTTTTTTGTTGTGTGCTTGTCTTAGGCTATCGACCAGCACAAACAGGTAGAATGCACTGCAAATTTCTACAATAGCAACTCATAACATTAACAAAACACAGCACCTGTCCATGTGTGTTGCTGCTGTCCATTTTTTGTGCTGCTGCTGTCCATTTTTGTGCTGCTGTTGCTGCTGTCCATTTTTTTGCTGCTGTTGTTGTGTTGCTATCCATTTTTTGATTGTGCTACTGTTGTCCATTTTTTGCTTAACTGGTCCTGCTGAAACTGTTTTTAACTTGTGTTGGTGCTCCAAGAATGTGTGTTGTTGTCCATGTTTTTAACTGTTTTTAACTTGTATTGGTGCTTAAGCGATAATGTGCCATCCATGTGTGTTGTTGTCCATATTATGTACTTAAGTTATTATTTTATTATGTGAGATTGAAGTCATATTTATGTCAAAAAATATGAGTGTTATTATTGCTGGTTCTGGTATGTTGTTAGCCTCTAAGAATGTGAGTGTTATTATTTTATCTGTTCTCTGTCCATGTGTGTTGCTGTCCATATTGTGTTGTTATGCTATTTGTTTTCTACTGATCACTCATCTGTTCTGCTACTGAGGTTATGCTGTTGTTATCTGTTCTGCTGGTGGTTCTGATATTGCTGGTTTTGATATGCTGCTACTAGAGCTTCATGTTACTAGTTCTAGTTCTGGTTCTAGGACTTGGGTTTCAAGGAACATGCTGGCGCCATACTCATAGAACCATAACATGTATGAGGTTCTTTGGTGTGAAACCAAAATGTTTCTGAGGTGTGAAACCAAAATATATGAGGTTCTTTGGTGTGAAACCAAAATGTGCCAAACCTGCAACAAATAGCATCCAGAGATCTAGATGACTATAGCTGAAACAGATGATTGGATAATAGAGTGAGGCAGAAACCACTCCTGTGTATGCCAACCATTAGAATGATCTGCTTTAAACTTGCTAACAAATAATAGTTTAAGTTTGATAAGTAAGGGCAATCAAAAAACTTGCTAACAGATAACAAGTTGAGGCCACTGCCAAATTGTTTGAGAGAAAGGGCAATCAAAAAATAAGTGATCATGGTCCTCATTATGCTCCTCACACAAAACACATGTGGCTGAGTCTCTAATACCAAACATAACCAATTTCACATTTTTACAATGCAGAATATGCCTCTGGTTTGTAAGTGGTGGCTATTGACTACAGCTGAATTTAAGAATGGAACCAAATTTTAATGAGACCAATGTTTCCCAAAATTCATTCCATAATAAAGTAATGGCAATCCTAAGTTCAACATTAAAATTCATTCCATAACACATAAGTTACATCATGAAGTACAATAAAACCGAAAATGGTAGAAACTTGCATTCAGTTTCCCAAAATACAATAAAGTACAAAAGTTACATCATAAAGTATAAAATGATATAAAATACAATGAAATACACAATCGCTTGGATATTATTTTCCATCCTTTCAAGCCTTCGACCATAGTCATTTTCCATGTCATCAAGCCTCGTCCTTACATCGTTAAAGTCTTTTACTGTTATAGCATCACAAGCTTTAGTGCTGGAACAGATTCTGGACATAATGTCTTCATCATCTTCATCCAAGAACTTGAAGTAATTGCAATGGGGAGTGAGAGTGTTACTCTACAATGCATGACAATCAGTACGTTGAATAAGACAAATATTAATGTGACTACTAAAGGATTAAATTTTCCAATACATACTTACATATTTTGATGGGCAAACAAAGAACAAACGCCCTTGATTTCCATTCTCATTGGTTCTTACAATATATATGGCAGTGGTTCTTCCACAATTGCACAGCCTCGGTTGTAATCTTATGTTGCTATTGTTAGAAGAAGAGGTCATTTTTTAAATCTGCATACATGAGAAATTTGTGGTGTTATGCTATGCTTGTGTTTGAAGCAGGATCAGCATTCATGAGAAAATAAATGATTTGTAATTACACGCATATGGTAGTTCTATAGAGTTATATCCATAATAGAAGTAATGGCAGTTCTATAGAGAAGAGGGACAAAGTATGAAGGCTTAAGAATATATGAACATAGCATTTGAACAAACATAGCAGTTCAATGTCAGTCATTTTCTTTAGTTTCAAACATAGCATTTGTGATTAATTACACACATGTTACACACATAGTAGTTTCAAACTGAACAAACACGACAGTTTTTCAGTTTCTTTAGTTTTTCCAACATGTTAAGAAACTGAAAATCCCAAAATCATGTATCTTCAGTTTCTTCAGTTTGCCAAAATATTTGTTCAAACTACCATGTTTGAGCCAAACTGAACAAACATAGCATTTGTACTACAAAATCAAGAAAGAAGGTATTGTTGGAATTAATCCCAAAACCAAGCATATGAAGAGATATCTAGAAAAGAAAAAAGAAAAAAAGTAAATAGTTTTTAAAACAAAACACAGCTGATACAGAGGTTACTCAGACTAAACTGTTAATAGCATTTGAACAAACATAACAGTTCAATGTCAGTCATTTTCTTCAGTTTCGAACATAGCATTTGTGATTAATTACACACATAGTAGTTTCAAACTGAACAAACATAGCAGTTCTTGAGTTTCTTCAGTAAAACACCAACGTTGCTTGAATTAGGAAACCCATATCACTGATCATACTAGCATAACTCAAAACCACCTCAAATGCACAAAAACCAAAATTTGAAATGCCAAATTTCCACTACCCCTTGTAATAAACACCAGTGGTGCTTTGAATGAAGAAACATATATCATTGATCATACTAGCATAACTCAAAACAACCTTACTGCACAAGATTCAAACTTTAAAAACCCAAATTGCCACAACTTATTGGTTTTATGACTTCTTGTAAATCAAAACAACTAAAACATTAGATTTAATATATGACTGATTTTCTCTCCTTCCTCAAATTTTTTATCAACCAACCAGAGGAGAGAAGAAAGTATGTTCATTATTTCCAGTATAAAAGCAAACAAAAAAAAGGCACAAAATTATTTTATTTCCTCAAAGCCTATTCAAGAACTCTACAACAATTCTTTACAAAAACAAGTAGAAAATTAATCAATTTGTCTCACTAATTAAATAGGTTTATGGATACTGATTCATCAAAAACACACAAAAACACACCCACTCTCAAAGCCCTAATTTTTCCTTGTTGGAATCCCAAATCAAAACCATAATTTTGAAATTTCAAATCTATTTTCTCAATCTCAATCACACAACCCTAACTTCTTAATTTCAACATTTCAAAGACAAACCTAGTTCCTCTATTGCCTTAGAACCCACGTTCTCATCAAGAAATTTCTTTGCTTAGCCGACGGTGGTGGTCGCGGTGGAGCTATGGTTCACGTAGCAGAGAATATTAGGGCTGGAGTGGGTCACCGTCGAGACTGGTCGCTGGTGCCGTCTGGAGGACTGGTCGCCGGTGAGGGTGGGTTCGGTAGAGGAGGACGGGTGAGTGTGAGGCTGAGTGAAAGTGAGAGTAAGAGTGAAGTGAATGTATAACTATAGCAACGGACGGGAATCTACTAAAATTTCAATTTCATATTTTTTTATTTTTTATTTTTTTATGGCTGTTGGATGTGCAACGGAGCCGTTGCAAGGAGCAAATGAAGTAGGATTCTCAAGGAGGGGATCCGGACTCAAAATAATTATCTATTCAGTATACATTCCAAGGGTAACATTTAATACATGATTATACATTTGAAGTTGACAGCCATGTGAGCCGGGGTGTAAAACCCGTGGTAATTCAATACCTCATTCATTCATGTATCCCACATATCATGTGAGTGTTAGTTTCAGATTTTATTATTTTGTTGTCGATATAATATTACACTTTATGACTTATTGTCAACCATAATATAATGTTGTCCTTGTTGTAGGTAAACAATTTGCAAAATATGTATGTAGTGCCAAATTGTGTGCCAAATCCAATGTCTCGGCGCTATTATGGTCAACCAACATTCCAGTCAGTAGGTGAAGGTTCATCTGGATATGACATTGGATTTCGATATTCTAAGCAATCAAATAATCCAATGTGTAGCTAGGTTATTTTATTAACTTTGGCAAATGATATTACATTTGTTGTACATTATGTGCCCCTTTGCTGCTGTGTTTTGTTAATTATTTTTTTTTG